CAGGTAGGAGAGATTACACCTTTCAAAAGGAGAAACTTAGAAAACAAAGATAAAAAAGGTCATCATTAATGTGAACAAGGCAATAGTGTCGGTTAGAGCAAAGCCCAGGATTGCATATCTGAGTAACTGTTTTGCCAATGATGGATTTCTTGCCACAAAATGAATTAATGAGCTGAATACATTTCCAATTCCTACAGTAGCTCCCGCTAAAGCAAAGCAACCCATTGATCTTGCACCTTCTAATATCTCTAATTGAGAAAGTCTCATAACACGCTTCCATTCATGAATTTATGGTCTCATTGCTTCTTCCTATCGTTCATCACTGCTACAGATATGCCTTTCAACGTCGGTTATATAAGGCTTTCAACGTCGGTTATACAACCGACGTTGTATCAGGCGACGTTGAAAGTATACACTTTCAACGTCGGGTATAGATAACCGACGTTGAAAGTTTAGGGTTTCAACGTCGGTTATTCATACCCGACGTTGAAAGTGTATACTCGTCGCTCAAGCGAGTACACTCGTCGCTCAAGCGAAATGGAACCCGAGAGTCCCCTTTGTTTGAAGCTTTCGTCGCTTAAGCGAGTACACTCGTCGCTCAAGCGAGATGGAACCCGAGAGTCCCCATTGTTTGAAGCTTTCGTCGCTTAAGCGAGTACACTCGTCGCTCAAGCGAGATGGAACCCGAGAGTCCCCTTTGTTTGAAGTTTTCGTCGCTTAAGCGAGTACACTCGTCGCTCAAGCGAGATGGAACCCGAGAGTCCCCTTTGTTTGAAGCTTTCGTCGGTCAAGCGAGTACAATCGTCGCTCAAGCGAGTACGTGTTTACTACGTCGGTTATGGTATGAACCGACGTAGAAAGTCTATTTTTTTTTTTAAAATGGACGCTTTGTTTACACAGGGTACCCAATGTTTGTATATATACATACCTGCAAATTTGAATACAACCCAGGCAGACAATGTACAAGATATAAACAATTGAATGTGCATCCAAAAATAAAATTGTATCCAAAATTATAGTGTATCCAACTACTTATCTACCAAATACACTAACTACTAATCTAACTAATAAACTAACTAGTAAACTAACTAGTAAAGTAACTAAAGTAACTACTAAACTAACTACTAAACTAACTACTAAACTAAGTACTAAACTTGCCTACTTCTAACTTTAACAAACTTATCGGCCCATGTGTTTCTAATATCGTCAATGGTCTCTATGGGCAATGCTTCCCTGCTCGAAAATACCTGTTACAAGAAAAAGATAATTTAACAGAGTATCCAATGACACAATACTTGGGTCTTTTATTGAATACTAAATTTAGGCAAACCTCGATTCCATGTATCCTCAATCTTGCTAACAACAATCAACCACATCCAAGTGCATAACATAATATCCGCACTCATAAGATCCTGGTTGCCTATTACACTACAAAAAATAATATATTAATTTGACATATAAAATGAATGATATAATACATAAATATAAAATGACTTACATTAACAAAAATCCAATCTGAGTCGTGCTTTTGCTTGTGTGTACTCCATCAATTGTATTGCAAACCTTAAATGCACTCGTGCAATACAAGATATAATGAAACAATTAAGTAACAAAACAATTAATAATTGTTTAAATTATTATAAGAATGTGTACCTGTTTACAATGTTTTTAAGATCTGCATCAGGTTTCTTGCCCAATGAGCAGTAACTAAGCCACAACATTCTGCTTTGGGCAAACAACCAACAACTGCCAATGATTTCTGCTTACATTACAAAAAGTTAGGATAATACAATACACTATAAAATTTAATGCGAATAATTTCATACGCTTAAATACTTACCGATGGTGGTAAGCACCCAAGTAAACTTTCTTCCTTGACTTCATCATCCAATTTTGGATGTATATTTGAACTTCTTCTCTCTTGTTTCCTGATTTTTGTATGGATTGGGGCTCAAAAAATCCATACACATCTTGGGTGCGTTGTTCCTCCGAAAATTCATTCATCATCCTAAAGTAGCCAGTTCAATGTACATTAAATATGACGATAACTTCAAATAACATAATTAGTAAATAAAAATAAATACTTACATTGTCCAAAATTGTAACACTGCTATGTTTAGACACCGATTGCCAACCTGCTATCTCCACAAGATCGGTGTGGTCAATGTAAAGGGGAAAGTTCTTATTGTCTACCCCTAACTTATCAACATCCCACTTCACTTGAAAAGATTGAATATACAACTGTGGGACAATAGATAGTAGTTGAAAAATTGGATTTTCTGGGACATTTACTTCCTTACCTTTACTAGTATGGGAAGTAGGAACCAGTTTAGGCAACTGGGGTGGCTTCTGAACATCCTACATAAAATAACATTGACTTGAGAAATAATAAAAAATAGTACCAGACTACATATGATAATTAACAGAAAGTATATGCAAACCTTTTCCAAAATAGGCCTGATTAGATGTCTAGGCCATGCAATGAAGGTCTGGAGGGCCTGTCCCACTGTCATCACCTCGTCTGTGGGCACAGGTACAAGAGCATAAGCATCTCGAACCTCTTCAATGACCACTTTGGCCAAGTTAGGTGCTAAAGGCACACTATGAATTGTAGAGGCCCCCTCTTCAATTGAACCAACCGCCACCAATCGTGGTTCAGATCCATCCTCATCAACATAAAATTCACACTGACCTGATTACACAAAAATAAGACATTAATTATTTAATATGCACATGAATTTTTGTCATTAAGATATCATCCACACATACCTGAGTGGTCAGTGTCTGCAACAACAACAACAACCTCCTTATTAGTAGCAGGAAACTCTTGATCAGCAGTATTTGGCTCAGCACAACTACCCTTAGTGCTAACTCGTGCGGCAGATGGAGGAGGAACATCCATAGGTGGGTGGGTAGGCTGTGTGACACCTATGGATGCTAGACTTGAACCAAATACATGCATCATCTCCTCCTGAACTCGTGCGGTAATGGCTGGTGTCAGCGTCGCTGTCAGCTCTTCAACCATCGCTGGTCTCAGCTTCGCTGTTAGACTCTCCTCCAACTTCGCCATCTCCTGCTGGCTCAATGATGTGGTGTGGGTATGGTCTGATGATGGAGCTCCAAAATATGCTCGAATACCCACACCAGCTCCAACAGCACGAACACGCCCTGGGTGTTCTGGGCGTCCAATAGCAGTAGTTAATATATCTTCACGACCACGGGGAACGAATGTTCCCTGTGTATACTGCTCCTCTAAAGAATCCTACAATTGAGCATTATATATTGTAAAAAAAAATTGATGAATGACAAAGCATGGTTAATGAGGTTGAAAGAAACTAATTTGACTTACAATCCGCTCAGCAATCAAGCGGGCCTCCTCTGATGTCATTTCACCGGAGGCCTTTTGCCGAGCCCTCTTCCATTTTTTATGACGTTTTGGAGGAGATGGTGGGGAAATCTCTTCCTGGCTTACACCGAAGAGGCTAACTCAGCCTTCTGAGTTTAGCCTTCTCCTTCATCATGCGTTGCGTCAACAAATCATACCCCCCACGAGACGGACAGTGGGGGCCACATTCAGCCTTCTGAATCTCCTTTCCTTTTATTCGCTTCTCCTGCAACATAATATCATATTACAATGTGCTAAATTAATAAGACAATATGGAAACATACCAAAGTTTTTAAATAGTAACATACCTCCCATTGTGGACCAGTCCTACTCCCGACAAACCGCTTCCAAGTTTCCTCATCTATGCCATAACGCCGACAAGGAGTTAATCCTTTGCTAATGGCTTGGTCATTAAAAATCCATTTTGAAGTCAATGTCGACTTGAATTGCCTCCACATTTTGGCAATAGATGACATGACTTTTCTCCTAAGTTGTTCAGAGTTAACAATATCAAAGTGATTCTGCAAAAACAACAAAATAAATTAGGATAACAAAGTTTAGGATCTAGCTTAACTTAACATAATTTAACGAGTTAACAAAACTCACCAAAATATCTTGCCAAATTAAATTTTTGCAAGTCTCCTCCACATAATCCCAAGATGGATGCAAAATAGATACCTAATTATGAACTTAAAACGTTAGATATCAATCCATTTACATATGCTGACCATATATGCATAACAAGTTAAAAACTCTAAAAAATTACATACCTTTTCTCTAGCAAGAGTACCCAAGTAGGACCTAAATTGAGTGTGATGTGGCCCTGATATTTTGCCAGTCTTTGGATCCACACTCACAACCAACTTATCTCCTGCCATATGACGAACGGTCAACTTTTTCAACCGTGTGGCTTGTCGAGTCCTCTTTAGAGATGGGGGGGGTGGACATGCCGGAGGAGATGCTGGAGGAGATGCTGGAGGAGATGGTGGAGGAGATGCCATTTGCCTGTTAAAAAAAAAATTAAGTTAAGTTTTTGCATAAATTGGTAAGGCAAGGGGTAGATTCGTTGAGCACTCCCGACGCTGAGGATATATGTGGCACATCACAACCTCAAAACAAGTTTTTATCACAAGCTTATGAAGAAGAACTTAGGGAAAAAGTGGATGACTGGCTATTACTAAACATGTACCATATTGATAATGAACTACAAGATGAAATCTCCCTCTTTTAAGATTAAGAGAAAGCATGCAGGCCCTTGTGCATGAGCGAACGACCCATATTATTGAAGATTTTGGGGAAAATATCGACTGGACAAACTCCCCTAAATTCTAAATGATATGAAAACACATCAATTAGATAGTCAGTATTACAACGAATCAAAAGCCCTGATACGGGAGCTTGACTGTGATGGATAGAATGCTAAAATGATCAAAAAAGAATGGTCGGGTACCATAATATAGAGAAAGATTTACCAAAATGAGAAGGATGACAGACCCACTCACGATCGACTAAAAGGAGAGTCACCCAGAGATATTAGTTCAAATTCATTTCGTGAGAAGAGTCCAAGTGAGATAGGCCTATATGTTGAAGGCTCTATCATACATAAATTATGAGTTCAAGACGGGCATCTCCATATATCAATCTTAAGCGAACTCTTTCCGGCAGTGTCCCATTTATTTGTAAGACTCACAAAAATCCCTCGGGTAGTGCCACAATCTATTTTGCGTACAACAATGTGTTGAACTACTTCAATAAGTCTGTGTGTAAGATATCCAGCATCAAGCTGAAATACATGCACACGAAAAGAATATCAACAATAAGATTAGGATTGATTTGACTTTCCCCGTCACTCCGTCAAATAGGCTTAATGCCTTACTATCAAGAAGGAATCTGAAAGAATCAATCATCTGGAAACAAATATTTTATAGATGCATGGGATCTTCTTTTATTTACATGACAACAAGAGTAGAGCGGGGAAGGAGCTGTGAGGTATTACCTATAGGTTGAGGAAGAGAAGTAGACAAAGATGACACTAGTCTTTTCACCTTTGTTTCTGCATACACAGATGTTTTTTAATAAACTAATTGTTTGTGTGCCTTTTTGCGGAATGATTTCACATTAGTAAGGTAAGGAGAAAGGGGGTCTATAGGTATTACCTATAGGAATGATTTCACATTTCACGCTGATAGGAATGGGGGTTATCCCCTTATATTATATATCTCTTGTCTTATGGATCAATGGTGTGCCATGATATGCTTCGCTCGGAGGATCATTCATGGTGAAGATCCCAACATGATCTACTCGGTCAAGTTTGATTAAAGCACTCCATCCAACCAACCCAACAAAAGAATGGGTATTAGTGGAATGAAATCGGCATATAATTTCATTTCTTAGGTCTGGGTCAGGATCCAATTCTCTTATATATAAGAAATGGTATGATTGATATGGATTTTTCCTAGTTGCATTGTCATCATCTCACTTCTCTTCATGAAAGAAAAAGGAGAAGTTGCTTGACTCAGTGTACGAGCGGCTACTTAATGAAAAGACAAACTCGCCACTAGAGCAGAAGAAGCCTTATATACTCTCAAGTTTGTCTTCTCGGCTAACATGATAGTTGAATGGATTGATGATTCATCAACGGGCACAAGCTAATTCAAAGTGTCTTAGAAGTAGAAAAACAGGGTGAAAGTCTCACAGGTTAGTATGCAGATAGAGGACTATTTTAACAAGGGGAGCTTCCCAACCCAGACAAAATCAATCAAACAAGACGAACATCGTGAGATGAGGCTAAAGCCTTAAAGGAAGGGTACTCACAAAAGATCTTGTTGCACAAGAATCAGGTCTAATACAAGTAGTTCCTCGCCTGGGACAATAACTGATGATAGATAACGAGGGGGAGGTCCTAGTTCTAACAAGGACTATCATAGGAGCTAAAAGAAACTCAAGTTAGAGGAGCAATTTTCCACTCTTAACCGTTGCACACGAAAGAGGATCGGAGGCTCCCTCAACTTCTTAATCAAGGGGTTTTGAAAGCGCCCCATCTACATCTATGTCAACAACATCAACTAGGACTATATCCATTGATTATTCATACTAGGTCAAAAAAGGAAAATCGAAACAACCAACGACTTGTCTAAAAGAATCAAATATCCACGAGTTGAGTTTAATCTTAAAAACGTAATTTCTTTTTTAGTGATTAGCGATCAGTCTACCAAAAGGAAAGTTAGTCCTCTGCTCGGAAAAGGAGCATTTAAGCATCGGGGAAGAGCTCAAAGTCAACGTTGCATTGGTGATAAGGAACACCTTTTTCCTTACACTCGATGGACCAAGGGGTTGTAGATAAATAGATTACCACACCGCTTTCTTGCTCAAGGCTAGATAACCTACGTAGAAATAAACATAAAAGACTGTCTAGATACACCTCCGTACAACGTAATTGGATAGCCGGCCGAAGGACTTAGAATGGGAACACTAGGGTCCAAACCCCTTAGTTAAAAGAATAAAGAATAACAAGAAATAAATAAAGAGAGAAAAAAAAAAAATGAGAGGAAAATAATTTTATTATACGAGAAAAAATTATTTTTTATTGTTGAATTTTGTATATTTGATAAATAAACTTAGAAATATTATATTTAAGTAATTTTATATAGTCATCATTCATTTTTTTTATAATTTAATAGTTTATTGATTTTAAATAATAATTAATCTTAACTATTAAATTTTAAAATAAGTTATTGTTTAAAATTTATTATGATATTTATTATTAAAATAAATGAATATTTATCAAATAATTTATAATATATATAGTAGTAAAATGATATTATTTTTAATTTTAGAAAAATAATTATTATTTTATAAAACAAGTCGACCGATAAATCTACAGATTAATTTGGCTTAAGTTCATGTCATATAGATTATAGTAAAATAAGTTTCATTCAATTCAGGCTACAAATTATTTAGTCTAATCTAACCTATTTCTTGAATCCTTTACATTTGTCCATCGAGATCAATTTATTTTAACACCTATAAGTAAAAAAATTAAACATATACCGTTTTTTTTGTTAAATGTAGAAAAAAATTTGATACTAAAGATTAAAAATTCTTATATATGGACAAATCTTTTAAATCAAATATGTTTTTATAACTCATTTTAATCATAATAAGGTTTTTAAAGTTTTAGATTTATTTGTGTTTATTATTACATTATTAAATAAAAATATTAAAATAAATATACATAAATATTAATATATCGGTATGCTTTAAGATTTTGAAGCAAAATCAATATTGGTTGCAAAAATTTTGTTGAAAACATGTGAGTGTGTTATTCAGTTGAACATAAGTTTGACGGGGGATTAACTAACTATTTTCCAAAATTACTCCAAAACAAAAACATATAGTTTTATGTTTTCCATATGGACTTTTTTTTACTTTTTTAATTTTTTTTATCTACTTTTAAGATTATTTTTACGGAAATCAAGAAATATAATAAATATATTTTAATAATTTGAGGAAGTAAATAGTTAATTAAATGTTAAAACAAATTTTCACGGTATAATATGATCACCAGAAAATTGAATAATATGTGTGTGTGATAAAGTGATTTTTCATTTTTTTTGCGTGCAATTTCATTTTTCACAACAAAATATTAAAAATACTTGGAAAATTAGGTATTGTGTTTTCTATTAGCTAATTTCTTGACATATATTTGTGGATTTGAGTGGACTAAATTCAATCAATTATTTCATGTTATTTATTTATTTTCATTCTCATAATTTTTCTATGTATTTCATAATTAAAATAAATCAATTTTTACTATTTTATCTATCTTCTTCTTATTATTCTTTTAACTATTGTTATCAATCAAAAATTCATTATTTTAAAAAGTGATAAGTAAGATTCTTAAACTGTTTTAAATTCTTATTCTTAAAAGAGAAATAGATACGAGAATATTTCTAAATATCACATAACACATTCTCGGAGGGTAAGATCTAAAAATTTGATTTTTATCCACCATCTAGAATATGTTTTTGGATAATCAAATTTGGAAAATCTATTTTGATCTTCACTTTGTAATTTTATTTTGAGTATAGTATATATTGATACTTTTTAAATTTTTAGTTTTTATAATATATATTTTTTAAATAATATGTTAAATAAAGTTTTAGATAATATTAATATAGTATAACATATTTATGATAATTTAATTGATTATATTGACGTATTGTGGTTGATAGTAAAACATCTATTCTCTTGTTGAAAACTTATTGGATCTTCGTAGATTTCTCGAGATATTTTTTTACGAAGTTTGGTTATAGTATCTATAATGGCCTCCGATTTAGGTGGACAACCCAGCAAATAGACATATACAGGAATTAGCTTATCTATGCCTCAAACAGTACTGTAAGAATCGGTACTAAACATCCCCGTAATTGTACAGGCTCCCATAGCAATAACATATTTAGGTTCGGGCATTTGTTCATATAATCAAACTAAAGAGGGGACAAAGTATTAGTTATATATTAATATCATAATTATAAATTATGGATTTTATGTTTATTATTATAGAGATGGATTTGATGTTAATAAGGTTAAATATAACAAATTGTCTTTTAAAAAGGAATATATATATATATATATATATATATATATATATATATATATATATTATGTATTAAAACGAGTGATAATATAAAAAATATAAGAAAGATTTGCATTCAATTTTTAGCGGAAATAAAAACTATGAGTATCACTTTAACTTACGAGAAAAACTTGTAAATAATTACAAATGATGAATTTTGAAATGAATTGGTGTAAGTTATAATCTTGACTTAAATAACACATTGATAAGACATCAATATCCTAATAAATTAAGTATTAAAAAATTACAAATATAGAATCCTCCATTTGTTCACTTTTATAACATGAGAGATTCATGTTACAATCTTACGAGAAGAAATAATTAATTTTAAATTTTATAACATTAACACGTATTAACTTATATGAACTGAATCAATTTGTTCCACAGAATATTGATTAGTTAGTCACTTAAAAAAAATTAATCATCTAGTAGTTTCTTCATATTACTCATTTACAAGATTTTCCTCGGCATTATATTTATTCTCATTAGCAATTGATTCCCCCCAAATCATATATATCTTTTAGAGGTCACCGGTTTAACCATCTCTCTTATTCCTGACCATACTAAAAAGTGGCACACAAAGTTACGGGCTTCGAGCATGGTATGGCTGTATTCGGCCAAAACCGAAAACTAAAATGGCTTTGAACCCAAAACTATAACTGTTTCTCCAACAACTTATTATACACAACCATAGTTAGTTATGACGTATAAAAATCATATACTTAAAAAAAAAGCATAATTTCTTTTTTATTTTCACAATATATGAAGTGTTTTATGATACTATTGTTTACTTAAAAAGTCAAAATAATAAATGTTAATATTCGCTATAGTCAAACTATGTGTCACCACGCTGAGTTTTAAGGTCTAGTTATCCACAAATGTAAAAGTTTCAGCCCTTGGAATTTTTGCCACATTGGATCCCACCTGATTTTTTAATGTTTGTTAGTACAAGCTATTTATACCATCTATTAAACACATCTAATCTAACAAAAGATGTTAAATGTTCAATGATTCACGACAACTTTAATATTTACTGGCCAAAAATGGGATCATAAAAAATAAAAAATCTCATTACAATTTTATATTCGTTCTATCAAGTACACGAAATGATTATATTTTTATGATATTGAAATAATTTTTTAGCTAGATTGCAAAAGAAAAAAAGGGTTTAATTTTTAAAATATTATTTAACTAAAATAAAGAATGTAATTAATACTGACAATTATTTTTAATGATATATTATTATTCCTATTAAAAATGAATGTATATTTTTCACATCGAATGGTAAACATATGATCAATAAATTTGGATAGTTTGTTAGCCGAAGAAGAAAAGAAAATACATTGAGTTAAACAGTAGTAAATAAATTGACCCAAACGCTGGCTAACACACATAAAAAGTGTCATCTTTGCGAAAGATTTTGGTGAATTTACGTGCCTGGAATGTAGTGAGAGTGCAATGTACCTTTTGACGAATCGAGAACTGGGAAAGTTGAGGTTGGACCACAAGTTGTAAAAGCTTTAACGGAGGCATTGGTCTTTTTTTTGTTTTGTTTGGTGATTAGTTATTGGTCAGATTCATAGATAGATGTAGGTGCGTGCACTTGATTCTCGATAAAAAGCCTTTAACACCGGGTGAAATGCCCTGAATTATGAATCCCCAAGATGAAAAGAAAGTGCCCAAAACTTTTACGTGACTTCTCAAGACGTTGCAGATGCATGCCCCCAGATTGGGAACGGGGAAATCTGATCCAACTGCGATCGCAACAGCTGCATTTCATCCCAATTTCATCTACGCTTATTAATGCTCTCTAACCACCTTATTTATTCATCCAATTCCTCATAATTATGAAATTAAACAACGCCATTTGTGTGCAAGGAAAGAAAGTTGCCCGAGAAGCAATGAATGATTCTTCATCACTCCACGTTATGCCTCATCCTTTCCTTTAACTTTTAAAAACACTACTCTATCAATCAATAATAATAATTAAGCGGTTTTAACAATTCTTTTCTTAAAACAGATGCTTAGTTACTGTTCTGAAAATACAATAAGGTGGATTAGCATTTCGCGTACTCGATTCATTTTTATTCGAACCGAATATATGTAGTCACTTGTCAAACAGTTCCTCAAGTCAAGTAACTACCATACGGTCATACCTAATACACACAAGTCCATTGAAGTCTTTACACATGTCTCTTTTCGCTAATATATGTGGAGGATTTCGCATTGACGCAAACCACTATGGTCACAATAATTATATCATTTTACCATTGATTTTTCAATTTTTTTCACGAATTTGATTGGCATTATGATATTGTAAAAAAATTAACCTTCCATTGATAAAACTGTTCACATGCAAACATTATATTGTGGACATGTTGTCATTTTAGAGTGAAGCGAGTAATCAAAATCACAGAAAGGTGATTGATTGGGCAGAAGAATTGAATGAATATTGGAGCCTGGGAAGAAAGGTGGCCATGGGTATAGAATAGGTGAAAAACTTAAATAATGGTGTGGCCTACCTGAAATGGGTTAAGGAAATGAGAGCTAAGAGAAAGAGCCACGTAAAAGAGAAGAAGGACACGTGGAGGAGTATGATTGGTATTACAAAAATGGGGGATGAAGGACACGTATGGAAAGAGAGAGTGAGAGCGGGACCCGTTTTGGCAATTAAAAGCGAGGGAGTGAGGTTTCAACTTTCGCACGACCATCGAGGCTGGTTGGCATTAAAGGCTGCACCCTCGTTCACATCTGTAACCGCAACCGCAACCGCATCCATCTTCTCTTGATGGCCATATCTGATGTCGTGGCGCGGAACCTCACCACCATCTTCCTCGCTCTCATGGCGTCTTTCGAGGCCTATGGCTTTCTCTGCGGCCGCAGGTTCAGCGGCGGCTATGTCCTCATCCTCGCCACCGCCGCCCTCATTCTCATTCTCGTCGCGACGCTCACGTGGGACATCTCGCGCAAAGCCACCTGTGCCTTTCACCGCGACCACGGTGACAGCCAGGAGGTTTGCAAAGGAGGTATCTGCTGGCACGGCGTGGCGCCGCGATCGCCAGCTTCTCAGGTCCGTTTCAGACTTCCTCGCCAGCTTCCCTTAGCCCCTTTGTAATTGTAATCATACAATAACACCCTCCTTTATCATCATTAATAATAATAATAATAATAATAATAATAATAATAATAATAATAATAATAATAATAATAATAATAATAATAATAATAATAATAATAATAATTTGGTAAAGATAGTTCGTGCGAAAATTACTCTATTAATTTATCCTCTTCCTGTCGGTAAGTTCTACACTCTCTGCTTTGCTTCTAATTGGGACTCGTTTGTATTTATACTCATGCCTCTCATTCCTTGTAATATAATGTGCTATATTAATGTATATAGGGAATTTGTATAAACAAGTGATTGATGATCATTTTTATTTAATTGAAAAATGTTTCCTTTTAGTTTTTGTATGATCTTCTACCAAACAAGTTCTACCTTGCTAGGCTTTGGATTCTCTGTATTACACGCTTAAAATTAATAACAATAATGAGGAAACAATTCACACACACCAAATGTGATTTAAATAATGGAGTTTTTTATATACAGATTATTATCACTGATATTAAAAATGAGGAGGCATGGGCATCTGGGTCACTGAGCAAATGCAGATTCTCTTTGGTCTCTGCAGCAATTCGCTCTACAGCATAAATTATGGCCATGGATCGCATTGTCTAACTTTATTAACTACCGCCGCAGAACTAATCAATGGTCCAGATTTGGTAGCACTGCAAATCCAAGTTGGTCACTGAGTGTCTACCTAGTCCAGAGAAAGCCATAAACAGGGTTTGGTGGTGTGTTGTAATGGTTGACACAGAATGATAACATTTTTCGAAAATCAATATGAAAAGTAGTTAATGTTATGGTCATCATGAAGATTGGCGATGGAGCGAATGGTATATAGTTATAATACGAAATAATAATTATATGTACAAGAAATATTAAGGTTATTTTAATGTTTGATGGAAATGGTGACTGGGGTAGTAATCATGGATATTTTTGTGGTGAGGTGGAGGGTCCAGCATGAATTGAATTGGTCAGTAGTTGAAGTGAAAAAGAAGGAAGAATAGCAGAGAAGCATGGTGGCTTGGTTGCTCCATGATAGGGCTTTGTGCTGATTTCTTTTTGGGTTAGTTAATAATAAATAGAGTGAGGACTAAAAAGTCTACTGTGTCAGGTAAGTTAGGTGTGGAGAATTGATGAGAATCAGAATACATCCCTGCGATGTGAGATACCAACATGATTCTTATCAACTAAGATCATTTTTGTTGTCACTGATGTTGTTGCCCCTACAGTGTCCCACCCGATTCATTCATACATCATCAATAAATCAATTTTAATCAGATCAAATTGGTATAAAAATTCTCATGTGAGAAGAGAAAATGAAAAATTCCTTTACCAAAAATTAATTTTAGATTCTTCGTCAATTATTTTTAGAAGTTCTTTTGGATAAATTCCTCTAAATATACCCTTTTTAGAACCACTCACCAAAAAAGAAAAGAAAAATTGATGTAATTGTTTGGAAGCATCTCTTTCAGGCAACTCTAAAAAGGGTAAATCTAACTAGCGTCCTAAGGCCACTGGTTGAGTTTAGAAATATTAGATGCATATTAAAACAAACAGAGTTAGTAAATTAAATATATATTGAATAATTTTTTTTTAAATAATTATTATCGTAGTCATTATATTATATCTAAACAACTAAATTATCCAATACACCACATTATTTTCTTTTTTATTTTTAATAATATGGCTACCCACCTAATTAATGTATTGAAAATGTAAATGTAAGCTTCTATTAGCCACACACTTCATACAATGAAAAACTATTCAGGGTCTATTATTATCATTATATCTAATGTAACGTTTTTATTATTTTATTTTAGTTTTAAGTGGGTCTGATTATTTCATATCATTCAAAACCTTCACATTCATCAATATGGTCCAATAAAATTTCTTATAAACCGTATATCTTAAATTTTAACATTATGTATAAGACCTCTGGATTATACATGATCTAACTACATGTGTTTGCTTCACATTTTTGAATAGTGCATTAAATATAAGAACTCAAACAGTTCCTTTTTTTTCTCCCTAATTAAAAATTACATTCATTCTCTTTTCTTTTATCTCTCCAATTAAAATTTACTGTCAGATTAAAAAGTGATTGTTACAAGTAACCATACAAAATAACTTTTGTATCTTTAATGATAATTTTCTTGGTACTTCTATAATTTAATTAAAGAAACTGCTATAATTTAATTAAAGAAACTAATGGGATGTAGAGGTGAAACCAGTTATTTACTTCGGTAGCATTATATCAATATCTAATATATATATTCTTTTTTATAACTATTTTCGATAAAGAGAAAAAAAATGGCATATATATAATTTATAAAAGAAAAAATATAATATAGAAAAAAATTATCATTTATATATTTAAAAAATTAGTAGAAAAAAAAGTGACATATAATATAATGAGTGAAAAAATAGATATTTAAAAAGTGAAGAAAATTAATTAATTAATTAATTAATTAATTAATATAAAAAATTTAGATAGAGATGCTTCAGTACATGTGTTTGTAATACTCTATTTATCTATCTATATATTATTATATGGAGAGAGAAATAAATAATAAATAATAAATTTAAAAATATTCTTTTTTTTTTTACTTTTTCAATTAGACGTTTTTTTTTACTTTGTATCTTGTTTATTTGTCTTCAATAATTTACAATTTCATAAATATAATAAAAATGTGGATACGTACATTTGCACCTATGTTTTCGTTATTATATACTATATATAGAAGGAATTCCATTTTCTTATAATCGATTTTTGTCATCGAAGAGAAAAAAATTGTCATATATGATTTATAACATGAGAGATATAATATTGGAAAAATAATTATTATCATTTATATATTTAAAAATTAGTAGAAAAAAGAGAAAAAAGTGCGATATAGTGTAATGAGTGAAAAAAAAGTAGATATATATCAAAACACTGGAGATATTTAAAAATAAATAAATTAATAAAATAAATACGTAAACACGTTAATATTTTAGTATATATGTTCCCATTAATAATATATTAAAAAAATATCTTTTTTAATGCTTTTGATATCATTGTTAAGGTTTTGTTGTTTTATTTATTATTCTGTTTAGCAATATGTTAATAGTGCAAAACTTACTCCTAATTTGTAGGTAGATTCCAATAAATTAGGGTCACATTCCAACTGGGATCTATTCTGTTTCTCAGTGGCTCTATTTAAGTCAGCAGTTATCTTTGAATAATATACAACAATTTACAGCTTCTTCTATTTTCCATTCACGTTAACTTTTGTCTTCTTACGCATTTTATATCTTCCAATAATTGGTATCAGAGCTCCGCAAGGGGCCTGATCCAAACGGTGAGTGAGTTGTGAGTAAGTGAATCTCTAAAAGAAACCCAAGATGTTTACTTTCGAATTTGTGCAGCCTGCTATTCCCAAATTTGAGGGTTATTATGATTTTTGGTCAATGATCATGGAGAATTTTCTTAGAAGCAAAGAATTATGGAGTCTAGTGGAGGAAGGGGTTCCTACACGTGTGATTAGTATAGGACCCGGTGGAGAGACTCTATTGAAAACTGTGGAGGAAGCCAAACTCAAAGATTTTGAGTGTCAAAAATTTTCTATTTCAATCTATTGACGGAGAAATATTGGAGACTATCCTTGACAAGAGCACATCACGGGCAATTTGGAATTCAATGCGGCAAAAGTATCAAGGTTCTACAAGAGTGAAACGTGCACAACTCCAAGCATTGCGGAAAGAATTTGAGTTACTCACAATGAAGAAGGGGAAAAGGTGGACAATTTTATGGGCCGCATCATGGCTGTGGTAAGCAAAATGAAATCCAATGGAGAAGTGATGGAACAGAGCACGGTGGTGAGCAAAATATTGAGATCTCTAACTCCTAAATTCAACTATGTTGTTTGTGCTATAGAGGAATCAAATGACCTCAATGTTCTCACCATTAACGAATTGCACGGAAGTTTATTGGTGCATGAGCAAAGAATGCTTGGGGTACAGGAGGAAGAATAGATGTTGAAGGCTACTCACGAGGCCACCAATAGTAGAGAGGAGCGACCTAACAGAGGCAGAGGTCGTGGTGGATTTAAAGGAGGTCACAGCAGAGGAAGAGGAAGACAACCCTTCAACAAAGCCTCCATGGAGTGTTTCAAGTGTCATAAATTAGGGCATTTTCAGTATGAATGCCCTGACTGGGAGAAACAGGCAAATTATGCTGAAATAGAAGATGAAGAAGAAATTCTTCTCATGGCACATGAGGAGCAGCCAGGACACGAGGGTGAAAGATGGTATTTTGACTCTGGTTGCAGCAACCATATGACAGGAAACAAGACATGGTTCCTAAACTTGGAAGAAGAATGTTCCAAGACAGTAAAGCTTGGAAATGATACATATTTGACAGTAGCAGCAAGAGGTAGTGTTCGGATGCATGTTAATGGCTTCACCCAGGTTCTGTCCGATGTCTACTACATTCCTTAACTCAAGAATAATCTCTTGAGTATTGGATAGCTACAAGAAAAGGGCTTAGCCATTCTGATTTCAGATGGCTCATGCAAGGTGTTTCATCCTGCAAGGGGATTAATTATGAAGACTGACATGAGTGGGAATAGAATGTTTTATGTGACAGCATCTATGGCTCCCACACATTCGTTATGTCTCCAATCAGAAACTGTCAAGGCTAGAGAAGCTAGAGAAGTTTATTTGTGGCATTGTCGCTTTGCACACTTAAATTACAAAGCCTTGAGTATCTTGGCTGCCAAAGAAATGGTACTTGGTTTACCTATTTTGGCTCATCCTCAGACAACATGTTCTACATGTTTAACAGGAAAACAAGCAAGAGGATCATTCCCAAACCAAAGTACTTGGAGAGCATCTAAACAATTAGAACTCATACACTCAGATATATGTGGCCCTATCCAGCCAGTCTCGTACAGTAATAAGAGGTATTTTCTAATTTTCATTGATGATTTTTCTAGGAAAACTTGGGTGTACTTTTTGCATGAGAAGTCAGAAGCATTAGCCAAATTCAAGGAATTCAAGGCACGGATTGAGAAGGAGCTAGATGCACACATCTTGTGCTTGCGGACAGATCGTGGAGGAGAATTACTCTCCAGTGACTTTACTGAATTTTGTCACACACAAGGCATAAGAAGACAATTAACTACCTCCTATACTCCTCAGCAAAATGGTGTGGTTGAACGAAAGAATAGAACAATTATGAATGCGGTTCGTTCTATGCTCAAGGAGAAGCAAGTTCCCAAAGTCTTTTGGCCAGAAGCTGTCAAGTGGTGTGTGCACATCCAAAACAGAAGTCCTACAGCCGTTGTAGAAGATATTACTCCAGAAGAAGCCTGGGGAAACCTGTGATGGAATATTTCAGAGTCTTTGGGTGTGTAGCCCATACGCATATTCCAGACCAGAAAAGAGTCAAGCTGGATGACAAAAGCAGAAAATGTGTTTTTTTGGGTATTAGTGATGAGTCTAAAGCATGGCGCTTATATGATCCAGTCACAAAAACTGTGGTCATTAGCAGAGACGTAGTTTTTGAGGAAGAAAAGAGCTGAGATTGGAGCAGATTAGAGCTGGAAACCAAGCCAGATGAGGTGATTTTTGGAGATACAGATGATCTTGCTGCAACGAATGAAAATAACACTGATATTACAACAACTGCAGATAATAGTGTTGATAACAGTGAAGATGGGAGCAACAACACACATCTAGACAGTACTACACCAAGTTCACCTAAAGGGAGGGCAACACGTGCAAGGAGAGCTCCAGGGTGGTTAGTAGATTATGACACAGGGCTGTCAGAAGAAGAAACCTTAGCAGTAATGCTTGTAACCGAATCAGACCCGGTGTCATTTGAAGAAGTTGCAGGGAGTAAACATTGGAGAGAAGCCATGGTTAAAGAAATAGAAGCTATAGAAAAGAATCTCACATGGGAACTTACGTCTTTACCGGATGGAGTTACACCAATTGGAGTTAAATGGGTTTTTAAAACCAAACTCAATGCAGAAGGGACAGTAGAAAAACATAAAACAAGACTTGTAGCAAAAGGGCATGCCCAAAAACATGGAATTGACTACATTGAAGTTTTTGCTCCAGTTGCTAGATTGGATACCATTAGATTAATTCTAGCTACCACTGCTCAATTTAGTTGGAAGGTGTTCCAACTTGATGTCAAGAGTGCCTTCCTTCATGGAGAACTTAAAGAAGATATATTTGTCCTACAACCTGAAGGTTTTGTGAAGAAAGGAGAAGAAGAGAAGGTATATAAACTAAAGAAAGCATTGTATGGTCTTAAACAAGCACCTCGGGCTTGGTATCACAAACTTGAGACCTACTTTGTACAAGAAAATTTTGAGAAGTGTCCTAGTGAACACACATTGTTCACTCGCTCACAAGGAGGTAAAATTTTAATTGTCAGCTTGTATGTTGACGATTTGATATTCACTGGAAATGATAGAATTATGTGTGAGGAGTTTAAACAGTCCATGATGGCTCATTTTGATATGTCTGATTTGGGAACAATGAGTCACTTTCTTGGTATTGAGGTTAAACAATACTCGACTGGCATTTTTGTTTGTCAAAGGAGGTATGCACAGAAGATATTGTCTCGTTTTGGTATGCAGGACAGCAATGCAGTGAAGAATCCCATGGTGCCAGGGACTCGACTGATCAAGAATACGAAGGACGAAGGTGTTAAAGAAACTTTGTTCAAACAATTAATTGGCAGTCTTATGTATTTAACTGCCACTAGACCAGACTTGATGTATACAATAAGTTTACTTAGTAGATTCATGACCAATCCTACTACAACACACTGGTTGGCAGCAAAACGTGTTTTGAGGTACATCAGAGGTACGATCTGTCTTGTCATTTGGTATAAAAAGGGAACTAGTAGTTTAAGACTACTAGCCTTTTCGGATAGCGATTATGCTGGAGATTTGGACGATAGAAAAAATACTTCAGGCTACGTATTTATGCTAGGAACAGGGGCAATTTCTTGGGCATCTAAGAAACAAAATGTGATAGCTTTGTCAACAACAGAGACAGAGTATATGGCGACAGCTCTATTTGCTTGTCAATGTATTTGGCTAAGTCGATTGCTAGAACAAATTGGGCTTAAGAATGAAACTGCAGTTGAGATTCTATGTGATAATAGTTCTACAATTCAGCTATCCAAACACCCAGTGTTTCATGGGAAAAGCAAACACATAGATGTCAGGTTTCATTTTTTAAGGGATTTGGTGAATGATGGAGTGATCAAGCTACGGTTTTGTAGCTCTCAAGATCAACTAGCAGACATTATGACAAAACCTCTAAAGTTGGACCAGTTTCAAAGGTTGCAGACTATGATTGGAATAACTAGTGTAGATGCATTAGTTTAAGGGAGGGATTGTTAAGGTTTTGCTGTTTTATTTATTATTCTATTTAGCAATATGTTAATAGTGCAGAATTTACTCCTAATTTGTAGGGCAGTTTCCAATAAATTAGGATCACATTCCAACTGAGATCTATTCTGTTTCTCAGTGACTCTATTTAAGTCAGCAGTTATCTTTGAATAATATACAATAATTTACAGCTTCTTCTATTTTCCATTCACGTTAATCTTTGCCTTCTTACACATTTTATATCTTCTAATAATCATTGCTTATAATATAATATTATTTTTTATGAGAAAAAAATGCATAATGCATGTAATCAACGAAAAAAAGAAGGTAGAATATATATAAATAGTAGAGAGAAAAAATAAAATAAAATATATAAAAAAATAATAATACAAAGTAACAATTGTTTAGTGTTATCATATAATAAATTATTTATCGTTTTTTTTCTATTCCTTCTAATCAATTTTACTAAAATATAAATGAAATTAATTAAAAATGTATCCTCTTACCTCCACATCTTCAATCACACGTTTTCTCAAATTTTCTCTCTCAAATATAAACTAATAAATAGAAATAATCAACATCAATAATTTTTTTTATGATTCCCTTAATTACACGTTTTACTTTTTTTTTAACTCATCCACCTATTTTTCTCTGAAATTTGTTGGATAAATATATTTTTGTTTAATTTATTACTTACTATCATTCAATATAATGAGATAAAATCTTACTAATTATATTTATATGCATTGATGCTCATAATCAGGTACGACTATTTTTTTAGATCATTTAGTTACTAAAATTTTGGTCACTAAAGTATGACAATATTCTCGTGGCTAATATTTTTGTTTCAAATTAGTTAGTGATTGAAAAATTTGGTTGTTAAATAATCAGGTACTAACATTTTTTTACTAATATTTGTATTAAAATCAATTAATAGGATTCAATTTAATCGCCAAATTATTAATGAAAATATTTTTATCGCCAATACTTTTGTTTTATATCATTTAGTGATTAAAATTTTAGTTGTTAAATATTTGTGACCAATATTATCATCTGTAAATATTTTGTTTTGGACACATTAATAATTGAAACTAATACTTTTGTTTAAAATAATTTAAATACTAATTGTGTTCGTTAAATAATTTGCAATCAAAATTTTGATTTTTAATATTGTTGTTTTAAATCGATTAATGACTAAAAATTTAGGTACTAAATTATTAGACCAATATTTACTTTTCTAATATTTTTATTTCAATGTGTTGACTAAAATTGTGGTTGTTAAACAGATAGTTAGTGACTAATATTTTTGTTTTAAACATACTAATGTTTGAAATTTTTGGTCACTATGTTGTTAGTAATCAATATTTTTATCGTTAATATTTTTGTATTAAATTATTTAATAACAAAAGTGTTGGTAGTTGATATATCTCACTATTATTTTAGTGATTAAAAATCTAATCAATAAATTATTAATTACAAATGTTTTTGTCACTAATATTTTTATTTAAATAATTAATTACTAAAACTTTGATAGTTAAATTATTAGCGGTTGCAGATATTTGTTTTAAATGATTAAATGTTTAATTGATAAATTATTAGTGATGAATATTCATTATTAATATTATGTTAAATTAATTAGAGATAAATATATTTACCGTTAAATTTTTGGTATCAATATTTTCATGCTAATTTAGCAACTAAATGAATATTTTTTATTTTCAATCAACTAGTGACCAATATTTTGGTGACTAATTAGCAATAAAAATATAATCAAGTCAATATTTTTATTGTTAATATTTTTATTATAAATTAGTTAGTAATTAATATTGTGGTGGTGAAATTATTAACAACCAATTTTACAGTTCTCCAATATTTTTATTTTAAATAATTTATTGACCACTATTTTTTATTAATATTTTTATTTTAAATCAATTAGTGATCACTATATTACTCACTAAAATATTAGTGACCCGACTAATATTTATGTCACTAAATTTTTTTTTAAAGAAATTAGAGAGTAAAATTTGTGTCGTTAAATTATTAAAGACCCATATTTTCGTTGTTAATTTATTGTTTTCAATTATTTAGTGAATAATATTTAGTCTCTAATAATCGAAACTAACCAAATAGTGGCAGCACAATAAAGCACTACCCAAACAATGAGACATGATACTATGCCTATAAATTTCTTTGACATTTGAAAGAGAAATTACAGCTAGACGCACCAAGACTTTCTCTGCTTTGTAATGCCTTTCTATGAAGCTATAGTAAAGGATAAACAACGGAAGAGAAGAAAAATTAACAATAAGAAAACCCAATATTTGCCCCTTCAACCATCAATAGTTTGACATCATACTACATCCATCTTCCCCCAGCCTTTATTGAATTTGAGAACTTCAGTCACTAAAGGATGCCAGTGCTTGAGGATAATTTTGGGTAATAAACCATTAATTGGAAAGGTGTGTGTGTTTATGCACAGATCAGAAGAGATGTAACAAGCTACTTCCAGGGAGACTGCGAATGTTTGTAGCTATATGGGTAGGGTTCCCAACCACTGTCTGGTTCCTTTCGCTTCCCACCAACCCCTGAACTTGAGGGTTGCGGCATGGTTCTTACTTGCTCCTCCGCAGCCCTTCCCTGACCAGGAAAGAAAAATTGCCTTGCTGCCAATGTGTCTCTATTCCCACCCTCAATCATGAAGCCAGAGTTCAGGTCAAAGTTAGGACGAGAAGGTCCAAATCCATTTAGACCAAGTTGTGTACTTGTCATGTTCATAAAGATCGGTTGCTGAGAGTAAGATGATGAAAGGATATTTAACGAAGGTCCACCCACTTGAGGGACAACTGCAGCTCCTCTTGAGTCCACCATATACGGAACTGTGCCACCTGACCCGTACATGGCTGATGTTCCTGACCCGTACATGGCTGATGAAAAAGGTAATGCAGGTGCCGCTGATGCTGATGCCACTCCATTATACCCAATAGCTGATGATTGATTGAAGGATACTGTGGGGGTCGTCCCTATAATGCCACCTGCTCTTGACATTGTAAGATCTATCGCAGGTTCAACACCCTTTCCATTCGGCAGAAACGATTGAGGAACACATTCTTTTTTACCAACTTCTACCTTGGCACCCAAAATAGAGATAACGGAAGCATCTGATGATTTAGAACAATTATATGCATTGATAATATGAGAAGACTTACTGGACCCCAGGTCTACCAAATCAGTTTGAAGGCATGGCCTGTCATTCAAATCAATGTTTCTAATATATGGCTGCATTGATGACGATGACGATGTAGGTGATGGACTCCAATAACCATTTCTTCCAAGAAAGAGTTGTCCCTCCATCCTGTGATCTGAAGGTTGGATGTTACCATCATCACCTGTACTGTTCAAATCAAATTCAAGCCTGCTTGATCTTTTAGACTTAAATTCAACTGATGATTGCCCAGAAGGCCTGCCTGAAGATTCAGCAATAGGTTCTGCATTGCCTTCTTCACCCTCAGCTACATTTAGATCAATATCAAGCCAATTCTGCCTCTGCATGGAAGTGTCAAAATTCATATCCACAGAAAGATTCCTCTCACTATCACAATACTTCCGAGGAGATGCAGGCCGAAAGGCACTAGTGGCAGCTGATCCTTTCCACCCAAGCGTTCCCTCAAACTGCAAAGGGGCACCAGGCAACCCAAGAGTTGGCATAGGCCTTGAAGCAGAGACAATAGGTATTGGGGTAGATGTCGTATTTACACAAACATCCATATAATCAGAAACAACTTCGTTGAGATCAAAGCCACAAGGTCGTTTCTCTGAATTACCTCCTGAATCTTGAGCTTCTTCCATGCACAGCATATCAGTTCTGCATTCTGCCTCAGCCTCAGGGTCGTCTAAAATACTTGCATGCCCCTCCGTTTCACATGCCTCAGTAGCAAGGCTTTGTCTTGAGGAAACATTCTCTGGTGGGACAGAAGTGAGCTCATCCTCTTTTCTTACAGATTCTGGACTGCGTGGTTGCCTGATTATACCATCTGAGATTTTTTCTGAAGAACTGCTGACTTCTCTATTCACTTCCTGAGCAACCTGTCGGGCAAATTCTAAAGGATCCACAATGCCACAGTCAAGTTCATTGTCAGAATCTCTCTTGTCAACTATGTTAGACCTTCTAAAATCTATTTCAGGTTTACTAGAATCAGAGCCAATTGATGTAGCTTCTTTGTCATTACAAACAAGGTCCTTGCCTTCCTTTGATGGTGTGACATATCCTGCTACACAGACAGACATATCTGACACCTCAGTCTTTCCCAAGTTACTGTCACCGACAGATGTATCCTGCAATATATTAGAACTGCTATTGTCATTTTCTGCAGCTTTGAAAACTTGTTTCATGCTAGTTACAGTCCTAACATCATCTTCCCCAGTCCTCTTATCAGATGCAGGTGTCCTCATACTAGTAGAAATAGTTAACTTCCGACAAACATCATCCACTTTGTGTTCAACCTTTTGCTCCAAAGCTGGTTCTTTCGCAGAGTCTGGTGCTTTTGGTTCAGAAGAAATAATGGAAACAGACTCGGGCTCTGGCTTAGAGGATGCAGAACAGATCTCTGGTGCTCCTAATTTTTCTGGAGGGTCATTAACATTTTGCTCCTGCTTTTCCCCAATTAACGGTATCACATTTGACTGTCCTTCAAAACTGCCTTCGTGTGTGGAAACTTCTTGAGCAGAAGATGGAACATCAGCAACATGGTTTACTGATTCCTCTTTGATGCCATCACATTCCAAACTGGTGGAAGAATGACACTTATTATCAGAACTATCTACCAGCAAATTATCTGAGCTTCTCAATAGAGAATGTATAGTTCCATTTAGTCCTGACGCATGATCATTATTATTGCCAGCTTCATTCACAGCAGATGTCTGGCCTTCCTCGCTGACAATCTCATTACTTGCATTGTCAACCTTAGCAAGCTCCACATCATGGGATTCAGTATCAACATTTTCAGCTCCCTTCCAGCTGTCAAACAATGTCCTCGCGCTATCCTGAACCCTGGCACTATGATGGCCAAGGAGACTACTTACAGTGATGCGAATTCCAGATGACATTGACTTCTCACTGTCTAGATGAAGCCTTTCAACTGCACGTAACATTGCAGTAATTGACTCTTCAACAAAGCTGTCGTTTGCATCAACCTCAAATTTTTGGGCATCCTTTAACCATCTATTGATGAAGCAAAGTCCATTCAATTGAATAAAAAGATCAAGGCAATCGTTATTCTCTGTAGCAGCAATAGTGCTTGCAACAGCAGCCCACTGCCTTGTGGCATCAGCAGAATTTTTAACCTCACAATTTTTTTCCATCTGCATGACAGTTACCAGCTCCTGCACCCGTGAAGGTGCTGTGAGCCCATCTTTCATCTCAGTCAAGGTAAAGAAATCTTCAAGAGTCATACTGCTTCACATAACCTTTCTGAGAGCATCAAGGTCATCCTTTTGGGGTGACAGAACTGTCCCTCCAATTGAGAATTTCACAGAACTTCTGGAAGAAAAAAAGATCACAGGCATCCACTGCAAAAACAATAACAAAAAAAAAAAAATCATTTTAGGTACAGTATTTCTACACAGAATATCATTAGAGGGCTCATAGATTCCAACCAAGAGAAAGATCATACACAAATTAAGCCCTAAGTTTACAGCAACAATTTGGTAAAATATTGTCAATAATAAATACACCATTGATAGTATATTTCATAGATTTTGGATCACTGTTACCATAAATAAAAGAAACACCTGTTTTGTAGAAGATCCGATATATCATAACTGATATGTTTATGGAAAGACCCTTAATTAAAATAACCAAATAAATATCTCAGAAACAACAGGTTACAGAAGATCAAGAAAACACGAAAATTTGAATGATATATTGATAGCCATTAGTTGACAACCAATGAGCAGAAACAGTGCCAACTTAGCCAGCAACGTTTCATGCTAGGATACTCTAACTGTGTTATTTCTAAATATCTCTACAAGCATTTATTGATCTTAGAGGCCTGCCCAGCCCAGACACTAACATGAAGCAGCCAGTTTACCCTGAATTCTTTTTTTCTATAAAAATATAAAGATTGGAGAATAATGACCTCCACATAGGATTGATCTGGATTAGAAAATAAAAATCAACAATCATGGCTAAAAGATAATATTTACTGACACTTGGTTCAGAATAGAAGAAAACCATGCTGTTTAAGTGGCATGTTTAGAGGGATCAAGATTCAGAGCCACAAAGATAAATTAAAAGAAAAAATTTATTTTCGTGTTTAGGTAAAACACACGACAAGTAAACTCCATCCCTCTATATATCTATCATGCATAGAACACCTAAAAAATCCAAGCCTTTGAAACAGTCACATCCCTACGCCAGCATTAATATCTTTTGTCCTGAATAAAGAGACATCAGTTCAGTTTTTATTTATTAATTACCATCTACATGTAGTCGATGATTCACCAAGACAACAACCAAGTTAAAGCAAATGGGTTACCAAATACAATGTAGCAATTACATGAAGCGAAAACCAAGTTCCATGATAAATCAAGAATTGTGTAGTGTAACCTATCTTACTGTAATATTTAATGAATATATGACACACAGTAGCAGCTTGGAATTTGATGACTTCTAAACCAGCATTTAGCAAAGGAAATGTAAAGGTGTAGTCACTATTAACTCTAATAATAGATTACAAATAGAGAATGTTCACAGCTGGCTATATGTAGAAACATAGGAAAGAAAACATTTAGATATCAATAAAGACAAAATCAAAATTTACAGCTGACCAGTGGCCAAACAGCAAAGTATTTATTCTAATTAACAACTTATTAAGAACCTCATGTAATTGAATCACTTACATACTATTACCCTAAACATTATAGTTTTTAATTTTCTGAAGAAAAATATAACCAGCATTTTTCAATCTAAGGACCAACTTGAGAGGAACAAAATGACAGCTGCAACACGATGACATACACACCAGAAGAAATTGAACGTAACCTTTTACAACTCTTCTAAACCTAAAGCAGTGTTCACAAAGCTATTGTATTAAAAAATGACAATTCATAGCAGCACTGATACTTCCTTAGTTAATGCTTAATGCACAAAAACAACATCAACTTTAAGATTTATTATTATAGTAAATCTCAAAATATGCATTGCACTGTATTCAAATATTTATAACAACAAATTTAATGTTCTTCCCGCAAACTTTCTTTTAGGGTGTTTGAATAGCGAGTATTTAAAATATGTTAAGGGTTGAGTATAGATTCTGGTTTCTGAGAAGTATTTTAAACATGTCAAACAAATCTGACGGCAATTGCTAAGAAAATGGGGACAGATAAAGGCATTGAAATTGAATAAATCAAGTCCTATGTTGAGGATTAAAAAAACGAAAGAGCAAAATGTAAATGAAATTACCAGTCACACTCTTACCAAGTTGCAATTATCAAATAAAGCGAATTATAACCTTCCAATCACGGTCCCTGAGAAACTGTTATTCAACCCCTGAGACGCCCAATTCAGAAATAAAATCAGAATCCGACACAAAAAATGCAAGCAATTAAATACATAAAGCAGAAAATAATGATCGTGAAAAATTCAGCATGAACCAAACAAGCACATAACAGAATAGTAATCCTTAATTTCCAACAGCAGTAGCTAATTTTTCTTATTTAGAAAAAGGCACACAGTATCCAAAACCCTAAAATTTGATAGAAGATATAGAAAAACCCTAAAAGAGAAAACTAATACTCCACAGCTTTTTCGCCCCAACTGAATTGTATCAAAACAGAGGAATCCAAGAATGAATAGGCAGCCTATCACAGTTAAAACGCAGACACATTTTCACGGAAGGGTAAGGAATTACGGGAAAGAGGGGGAAATTTTGAAAACGAGAAAAAGGAAGGGAAGAGAATGACAACCTAGGAGAGTGAAATGAAAACCCTAGCTGTGGTAAGGTTCAAAGGAGAAAAAGCTTTCGCCAATTCAAGAATGTTGTGCGTGCTTCCGAGACAGAGAGAGAGGTTGGCGTGGTGAGTTACGTTTTTGTGATGGTGCCTGCGTTGCCCTGTTGTGTGTTAAGAAACTAAAAGTGAAGATATATGTATTTTTGTATGCGTCGTTGTTATTGAAAGCACGCACACAGACACAGAAGCACACAAGAACACAACACAGGTGAGTAGAGAAGAGTAAACGTTTTTGGTTATTGGGATTTTTTATTTGGTTATTGTTTCAGAGACTTCTGAATTTTTTGGTCGATTTTAGTTCGTAGGTTGGGCATCAACACGTGCGACGCCAGAGGCTGTTCCGAGTTAATGGGGCCACTCCCCACCACAACACAACATAACACTCATGCCATGCTCTTCGATTTCAATCCTTTCTGCCTTCCCACTCCACGCTCCGACCCGTATTCTAACCACTTCAATCCTTCTTATCCGACCCGATTCGACTCTTATATCTTCCCCTCCCGCCCCGTCTTTAAACCCATTTCATTCTATCTTTATTATCTTTTGACGAAATTTGGAATAAATCAGGTTTTCGTATCTAAATTACAAAAATATTATTTTAGGAGATTAAATAAAATCATTTTTTTCATCAATATTGAAAATTAACAACTTTTTTTTACAAATTTAAGAAATTAAAAAATTGAAAGACCAAATTCATATTTATTTTAAATTTTATAGACCAAAAATATAATTCATTTTTTAACCAGCTTTTTCTTTGTGAAAAATAAGTTACAATATAAATCTCAATTATGCAATCATTCGCTAATAATCTAATTTTTGCTTCCTATAACAAAATAAATTATATTTTTTATTTCTTTTACTTATTTTTTAAATTTTTTAGTTTCTGTGAGTTTAGACAATATAAACCAAAGAAATTGAAATGCTATGTGCAATAATTTACATAATAATTTTAAATATAGACACTAAAAAGACGTGCTAACATTAGGCATTGAAATAAATCACCTAATTTCAAAATAATTCAATTCGACAGGGTGTGGAGTAGAAATTCAAATCAATGAAAGTGATGGAGAAAGTGAGAAGAAAAAAATAAATGAAAGTGATGAAGGAAGTGAAAAGAAAAGTTACCTGCGTTGGGTTAAGATGAATAGAGAATTCAATAATCCAGTGAAATGCCCTTCTTTTTATTCCTGTTTTCTACCTTGCTATGTCCATCCTTTTTCCTATTTATAATCCTAGAGCTGGTATTTATATTTCAATCCAATCTCAAATTGTAAATTTGTGATTAAATGTATTAATTTTGAACCACTATAATAAAATATGATTATTCATTTGTTTATTTCCTAAATTTGAAGCAACTAATGTTGAGTATTCAAAATACGTATCTTTTAATGCTTCCACGTTGTCTATAATTAAATTAAAACCGATCTCCCTTAAAATATTTGCTCAAAATAAATAGGGTAAGTTTACTCTGTCAGAATCCATGATTAATCTTAATTCAAAAATTCAAATTTAAATTAATGAGACATTAATTATTATATTTTAATTCAGATAATATTTTCTATTTTCTTCATTTTCTTTATACGTAAGAAATTAAACTAATAACTCATCGCTCTTCAAATAAACAGATGTACATTAATATTCTTAACTTTTTCTTACAAAAAAACTCAGATAAATTTGGAAAAAAAAATCATTTATTTTACAAGAAAATTTTGGACCATCAAATTCACATAAGGAATATTTTTAAAATCTAAATTTATAAGTTAAATATTTAATCACAGAATATAATATTATTATAATTAACAATTATGTGTACCAAATTTTAGATAAATCAAACCTGGATAGTTATATAGTTTGATTTTACTTTTAATATATTTTATTAATATTGATGTAACCATATTTTTAAAAAAATAATTTTAAAATTTTATTCTTTTCTACTTTTAGATGTATAATAACACTTTCTTCTATTTTATATATTTTTTCCACTTATGTATTTCATAAAAAATAATATTATATATTATAAGTAATGATAACAAAGAAATACTCTTACTTATAATATAGATGAAAAATGCTACTCCATTGATTGTGTAAATAAGTTTACCACTGTACACGTTACAAGGAAATTAACAGAGTGATCAAATTATTTTGATTACTCGAAATTGGAAAAAATAAATAAAATAATATATTATAAAAATAACATAATATAAAATTGTTTAAAAAGTACTTTTTATATTTGATGAATATTCTCGTATATTTATATGGTTTTTTATATATATACATATATTATTTCTCGTACTTCTGTTTGACTATTTCGTTTAAAAGAGTTAAGCATGTATCAAGTCTCAGTCGTTTTACAGTTTTAATAACATTTAAATCTACAAATGGAAAAATAATATTATTAGAGCCCTTATTACAAAATTAGCCGAAAGATGAATTATTAGTTGTTAACTTATTATATCATAAGTAAAAATATATATTAAAATAATCAATAATTATAAAATAACAGAAATAGACACATTGATTTTAATTTTTTTTATATTTTAATTTCACTCGTTATATTTTATATTATGTATTTTATTATTATTTTTTCTGAAATAAAAAATATTTTTTTATTCAAATCTAAAGTAAGTAAAATATCATACTTATAAATAGACATATACTATCGTGGTAATAATTGATATAAAGGTTAAAAACATTTGTAATACGAAAAAAATATCATCTATCAATTTCAATATTTGAAATTTAGTATGAAAAATAATAAATACAAATATTTGAAATACTAAGTGTTTGATAATTTGTATATCTACTAAAATAACATATACAAGTAAAAATTCAAAAATAGATATTAATTTTTAAAATTTTTGAAAACAAATCACAACTTTTCTGTTTTAGTTATATATTTTATTTAAATATTCTTTATAATTCAAACAAAATTAAAATAAATGTAAAATATCATACTTCTAATTAGACCTTATATTTTCATTTTCTGTTAATAAGTATAATGATTGAAAAAGTATAGTATAAAAAACTATTATCTATTAAAATTGATATATTAAAATATAATCTCAAAATAAATAAAAAAATATTAAAACTGTTAAAAATATATTTTTTATATTTTATGTTTTATTATTATTATTATTTATTTAAATTAGATATTAAAAGATCTTGATATTATTTAAAATAAAACTAAAAAATATTATATTATTATTTTGATTTAATTAATTAATATATTAAGATATTTGATATCTTATTATATTCATATATATATATATATATATAAAGTATATAAAGAATAGAGAAATTTATCATATTATATATTTTATGTATAAAAATAAATATTCATAATTCTAATATTTTAATAAAAAAAATGTTAACTTATGTTTTTTTTTCACACAAACTAATTTTCTTTTATATATATATATATATATATATATATATATATATATATATATATATATATATCCAAACAAATTTAGTTAATTTAAATTCACTATTTTGCAAATCGATAAAAATAAATTATTATAATATATTATCACAGGTGATTGTGCATGAACTTCATTATTAAACTAACTTAATTTTTTTAAAATTTCTCATGTGTACCTTTATGTACTACCAAACACACAATATTTTATTATTGAAATTTTGTAATTCAATAGTCATAATAATGAAATTGGTTGAATACAATTTTTTTTTAGTTTTAAAAATGAGTATTAAAAATTATATACCTTCCATCTAAGAATGTTATGTTAATTCTCATGTGTGTTAAGATATGGTTCGTTTTAAAATTATCACCTATAATAAATTTTTAAAAGATGATTTTAAATTTAAAAATATAATATCGTAGGTTTAATTTATATATTTTGTATTGGGATAAAGATATTTGATTAATTAAATTATAGGTTTGTATAGCGTGCAAAATATTGTATAATCAGAATTTCCTATATTTAGTCCTGATTTGTTAGAGTAAAATACTATAAGATCATATTATATGTGTACAAAAATAATATGAATAAAAATTATAGAAAGATTTCTATGTTTTTTAATTTGGTACCAGAACTTATAATTTTTTTCTTTTTCTTTCAAAATCCTTGGAGATCTTAACTGGAGAGATGGCAGAAAAACTAATTCTAATGGTTATTCAATCTGAAGGTGTCTTCAACGCAGTCATCATCCTAAATGAATCCATTTATGACGTATGGTCACAACTAATGGAGATGCACATTGCAGAGAGGGAAAAATTGTTCTATATCCGTTGGAAGGTGAAGCCTCCAACAGAGAACGATGAGGGATATGAAAAATGGTATGCTAAAAACCAAAAAGTGAAAAGATGGTTATTGATGTCCATGAAGCCAGAAATTATGAAAATGTATATTCGCTTACCCACTGCCCTTGATATTTGGAATGTTTTGTCAAAGATATTTTATGATGGAAGTGATAAGTTACAGGTGTTTGCCCTCAATCAAAGGGCATTCACTGGAAAACAAAAAAATAGAACCTTAACTGAATATTATGGTGAGTTGGTTGAGACTTTTAGGGAATTGGACCATCGTGACAAAGTAGTCATGAAGGACCCTGATAATGTGAAGTCATATCAGAAGTCCATTGAAAGATTAAAGGTGCATATATTCCTTGCTGGACTAGATGATGATTTTGAATAAGTTTGTGGAGAAATATTGCGCAAAGAAGTGACACCTGATTTAGAAGAATACTATGCATTAATCCGGAGAGAGAGAGACCGTCCGGCGAACAACGTTGAAAACAGAAGATATGATTTCTGATTCCACAGCTATGATGACAAAGAAGCAGCCAACAAATCATCACAGCAAATCGAAGCAATCAAAAGATTTTGAAAAAGGTAACTACAAGTGTACTTAGTGTAATAAGGATGGACACATCAAGGAACGATGCTATGAAATCATAGGATACCCCGAGTGGTGGGATCACAGTCGAGCATCGAAGAAGAATTCAAAAAGAAATCCAATTGTTGCTGTTGTAACTGTCATTGACAAAGAGGACGACAAATGCATGATGCTTGTTACAATCTTAGATAGTGATGATTCTAATGGTAAGACTTTAATAAGCACATCTACCGTTCTAAATAATGCATGGATAATTGACTCTGTATGTAATGATCATGTGACTTTTGATGTTAGACAAATTAAAAATCTTAAACCTTCCTCACAAAAAAAGTATATCCACAGTCAATGGTAGTAAATTCACTATTACTGGAGAAGGAACTGTCTCTATTTCAAACAATTTGAACCTTGATACTGTTCTTGTTGTTCTTTCTCTTAAATATAATTTATTGTCAGTCTCGCAAATAACTAAAGCTCTTTTATGTGTTGTAATTTTTAGGTCTGACTCTTGTGTTTTTAAGGATATTCAAACGAGGAAGACGATTGGTTGTGGTATTAGGCGAGGAAGGCTGTATTACCTGGACCTGACAAAAAAAGATTCAAAGAGACTTGGTCAAGTGCTAGCAACAAAAGGGTCTCAAGAAGTAAGAAAAGGTGAGGATATCTGGTTATGGCATAAGCGTCTAGGACATGCATCTTTTGGTTACATAAAGAAATTATTTCCAAATGTATTTGACCAAGATGACACTTCAACTTTTTGTTGTAATGTTTGTGAGCTTGCAAAGAGTCATAGAACACATTTTCCTTCAATTTTAAATAAAAGTTCTCTTCCTTTTATGATCATTCACTCTGATGTATGGGGTCCATCTAAGGTTACAACGTTGGGTGGCTCAACGTGGTTTGTAACGTTTATTGATGATTGTACTCGAATGACTTGGTTATGTTTGATGAAGTCTAAAAGTGAAATTTGAGGACTAATTCAGAAATTCTGCAAAATGATTGAGACTCAATACAAAGCAAAAATTCAGGTATTGCGCAGTGAAAACGGAGGAGAATATATGCAATCAGAACTTCAACATTTTTTAGTAGCAAAAGGAATTGTTCATCAAAGATCTTGTCCAAATACTCCACAACAGAATGGGGTGGCAGAACGAAAGAACCGTCATCTATTAGAGATGGTCCGAGCTGCACTAATTGGAGCTCACATGCCATCAATATATTGGGGAGAAGCTCTCACATATGTAGTATACACTATCAACCGAACACCGTTCAGGTCTCTTGAGTATAAAACGCATCTTCAATCACTTACAGATGGAGTAGTAAGTCCTAAAATTGTTGAACTAACACAGAGTTTTTGGTTGTGTTGCTTATGTTCACTTACACAAGCATCAGAGAAGTAAGTTGTCTCCTAGAGCTCAAAGGTGTGTGTTTCTTAGCTATGCGGATCACCAGAAAGGATATCGGTGCTACAATCCACAAACCAAGCAGAAAGGATATCAGTGCTACAGTCCACAAACCAAGCAAATGTTTACTACTATAGATGTAGTTTTTCATGAAACTTTGCTATATTTTTTCCCCGAATCTGAAATTCAGGGGGAGAATTATGATGAAGTTCAGACTTTTGTTCCTCAAGAAATTGATATTGAGATCAGATTGAAGAAAGAAAGTTACAAAGTTATATCAAGAGATGATGAAAGTATGCAACAATGTTATGATCAACAACCACACAATGAGGAAGATTTTGAGCATGTTGAGATCAAAAATTTGTCTGTTGATGTTAATAATATACCACACCAAGCGTCCCCTCAAGAATCTAATACAGAAAAAATAATTCTGCCAGATCATGTCACTAGAGGTATCCCTAAGCCTACTTATGATCTTGACCTCACCAGTAAGACAAGATACCCTATGAGTAATTTGTTTGTAATCAGAATTTGTCTAACTCAAATATCGCATTTATAAGTCAATTATCTACTGTATCTATTCCTAATAGTGTGCAGGAAGTTTTATCTGACTCTAGGTGGAAGGATGCTCTGAATAAGGAGATGAGATCCTTGCAATGAAATAAAACATGAGAATTAGTAGATTGTCTAGTTGAAAAGAAACCAGTAGGATGCCGATGGGTGTATACTGTGAAATTTAATGCAGATGGCACAATTGAGAGATTCAAAGCTAGATTAGTGGCAAAAGGTACACACAAGCATATGGAATAGATTACACTTAAACTTTTGCTCCCGTAGCCAAAATTAGTACAGTTCGAGTATTGTTATCTCTAGTTGTAAACCTTGATTGGTCCTTACAAGAATTTGACGTAAAAAATGTCTTCTTACACGGGGAATTATTTGAAGAAGTTTATATGGAGCTACTAGAAGGATGTGGGATCCCGAATACACATAGCAAGAAGGTATGCAAGTTGAAGAAGTCATTGTATGAACTAAAACAATCGGCACGAGCATGGTTTGGTAGATTCACCAAGTCAATGCTTGCTTTTGGATACCAACAGAGCAACCAAGAGCATACCTTGTTTCTAAAGAAAAAGGAAGAAAAGATTACAATTCTTATTGTCTATGTTGATGACATGATAGTTACGGGAAACGATCTAGAGGAACGCAAGACATTGAAAGAGTACTTGGCAAAGGAATTCGAGATGAAGGATCTTGGTCCTTTGAAATATTTTCTTGGAATTGAGATCTCAAGATCAAAGTCAGGTATTTTTCTCTCACAATGAAAGTATGCATTGGATTTACTAAAAGAAACTGGAATGACAGAATGCAAACCAGCAAATTCTCCAATTGAAGAGGGATTGAAGTTGTGCATTAAAGAAGATTAAACTCCAACTAACAAGGGAAGATATCAGATACTTGTAGGGAGATTGATGTATCTCTCACACACTAGGCCAGATTTAGCTTATGCTCTTAGTGTGGTTAGCCAGTTCATGCACGATCTAGGTGAAAAACACATGGATGTTGTTATACAGATTTTAAGGTATATAAAAGTTGCTCCTGGAAAAAGAGTTATGTTCAAGAAGAACTCCAACTACAAGGATGTGATGGTTTATACTGATGCAGATTGGGCAGGTGCTCTTGTTGATATAAGATCAACCTCTGGATACTTTACATTTGTAGGAGGTAATCTTGTCACATGAAAAAGCAAGAAGTAGAAAGTTATAGCTAGATCCAGTGCAAAAGCTGAACTTAGAGGAATGGTTCTTGGACTTTGTGAAGGTTTGTGGCTCAAACTACTTCTCCAGGATTTAAGGTATGCACATACACGTCCCATTCAGTTTGTATTGTGATAATAAAGTTGCGCACGACATTGCTCACAACTCTGTCCAACATGATCGGATAAAGCATGTGGAGGTTGATAGATTTTTCATCAAGGAAAAGCTTGATAAAAATATTTTGGAATTGCCAAATATTCGATAGTTGACAGACATTCTTACCAAAACTGTGACAAGTCATATTTTTAGGAGATTATTGGACAAGTTGGGAATGTATGACGTTCATTTACCAACTTGAGGGGGAGAGTTGGGATAAAGATATTTGATTAGTTAAATTATAGGTTTGTATAGCGGCACAAAATATTGTATAATCAAAACTTTCTATATTTAGTCATGATTTGTTAGAGTAAAATACTATAAGATCATAGTATATATGTACAAAAATAATATGAATAAAAATTATAGA